GCTGTCTCCGAACTGCACGACGTTGCAACCCAGGAGACCGCACTCTTCATAGTTACAGCTTTGAGAATCCGATTTTAGCGTAGATTGGCATATAATAATCAGTCAGCACTATAAGTCGTTTTAATTTAACCTGAAAGGAAGAGGCCAGACGAGGGCATCGGCTAACCTGCCCAGGTTTAGTTTTTTATTTGGCTTCTTGGGGTTGGAGTGAGACTGAGTCCACTTTGTAAGTCGACCACTAATTTGCCTATTGTACAAGCCCCTGATGATATATGATGATGAATGCGGAGCAGTGGGTGGAATGAGAATTGGCGGGGGAAACCGAAGTACTCGGAGAAAACCTGCCCCAATGCCAATTTGTCCACCACAAATCCCACATAACCTGACCTGGGCTCGAACCCAAGCCGGCAATAAACCGCCTGAGTTATGGCACGGCCTTTCCTTACTGGGTTCTTTCGTGGTTTTCCTCAGTCCCTGCGGGTAAATGCCGTAATAGTACCTCTGTTAGGCCATCACCAACTCCTTCGAAATCCTTTCCTGTTCATCAGTCCCACCTTTCGACGATAGTTCGTAGTTACTGTAGGCGCCGTAAAACATGTTAACGTTCATCTTTAAGTAGTACGGTTCAAGGGCGATTGCTGTTATGAACACGGCAGTGAAACAGTTATATAATGCGGGTAATTTCGTGACTGGCAGAGAGACTTAGGTTCTCTAGGAGTACTTCATGGAGTTTGACATAATCAACTCCGTGGCTTTAGTCCGCAAGCGAAATATACCGAGCGACCGCCGATTGTCGGCGAAGTTAGCGCCAACTTTAGCGGATAGAGGGTGTCGCGTGGTCAGTACAACGAATACCCACAGCCGTTAAATTCGGATTTCTAGACCGGAGCCGCTAATTCCTTGAAATAGCTACTCAGTTATCCTCATGAGGCTGAGTGGACCCCGTTCCATACCCACTACTTCTCAGAAAATATGTTAGCGTCAGGAATGGAACCCGGGACCTTTGGATTTGTAGCCAGGAACTCTGACCACTAGACCACAAACATGGAGTTTGACATGCTTATATTAATTAATTTGTAGATTGTAGTATAAAATGAGGCAGAATACCGGTCGTTGAAAAACTTACCAGCTTTCCTAACTGCCCCGTGAGTCACTGATGTAAATATTGTCATGAAGCGGCCCAAAACTCCGAGTGCATTCTCAGCCTGTTTTTATCTTCCCCGACCAAACCAAAAACTTCCATTTGGAGTGCGAACTCAGATCAATCTAGGCTGCACTGTCACTGACAATGGCAGGCGGACTTTCCAAAGTTGAAATAATTCTCTCAGTCACCCATTCTTCAAAGTTATCAGAATTAATTTGCCCGTTGTAACCGCCGGTTGCTTTATCTGCTCTGCACACTAACACAGAGCCCTTGAACAAAAGCCATTAGACCGGCCCAGATGAACGTCAGTGAGGCTATTAGACGCATTCGCAAGTGTAATTCCTACACCTTCATTACTCTGCCAGCAGTTCATGAACTTCAAATTGGCATTCGCCCACGTCTCGTGCAGGTACAAAATTAGCGTCCCGTCTCCGTGCATTTTCTTGCTTGTCGTAGGAATACACAGAACCAGTTTAGAATAATTTTTTTCTTGACCTACACCTTTTCCACTTGATACTCATTTCTTTCTATATTCGTCGTAAGTATATAACTCTCCAATCAAAATCAGCCCTTTTCCTTAACACGGATAAACTTCCTACAGGCCGGTACTATCTTCCGTCCTAAATAAAAATCAGTAATATCATTACCGTCGAGCAAAGTCTTCTATCTCGGCATTCCGTACATTTTGACGTTTTCCTTGGTAACCCACCGTACGCAACACAATTATGTATTACTCATCCGTTGTATTGTGTTTGACGATGCATTGCAGCATTTTGCAGCCCTTTCTCTTGACTTTTGCAACGAGAACACTAAAATATTTATCTCTTTGCTGTGAATTGTTAGTGCACGCTTCCTTTGTGCTGACTCACAGTTACTTAGCAATGAAGCAGGCACAAAAGAAGACTCACTAGTTACATGCATAAACATGCAACACATGAGTTTATGTTTGTGAGACAGTAGTTTTACTATATTGCGCATGTGCAGTCACTCTCCCTTCTGCCCACATGCATTCCACGCCACCTTTTGGTGCCCCTGTAAATGTTAGATGGGAGGTTGTTTGTAAAACACCATGTGAAGAGTTCTCTTCTGGGATATAGCATTGTATAGTCCGGTAAGAGACAGTAGGGTGTTATACCTTTATAACTACCCCTGTGAGAATCTGAAATCCTACACCGTGTAGAGGTTTGCCAAATTGGAGTCTAGTTACGTCAAGCGGAATTGTAAAGACCCCGTTGGGATTGTTGTGTAGTAGGTTATGGAGTGCTGCAGTGATATGCAGTCCCTCACTCGCTAACGAAGAAATAAATTTAAAGTAGTCTAGGGGTAACGTTCCCACCTCATGACTCAAGATACGCGGGTTCAAACCCGGCGGAGGTCGTGGAATTTTTAAGGGCGGAAAAAATCAGGGAACAAGTCCTCCGGGAGGGACTTCAAGCCGTGGGTCCCGTGTCGTATATTTACGGCACGTAAAAGATCCTCGTGTCTCTAGGAGATCTCAGCAAAATTAGGCAAAAAGTTTCCCGCCCAAGTAGTTTCGAATGCCTCTGGTAGATGGAGGAAGTATCTGGTACCGAGGGCCGACCTCGTTGGCTGAACGGGGCTGATAGCACTCACCAGTATCGGTAGGGTATGGCGACTGGTAGAATATCAAAGGGGGACGTACAATAGACTAGCAGTCGCGGTGCATGGGGAAACCCACCCCCTCAAATAATAATAATAATATATAAATGTATGAATATAAACATTTACGATTGAAACACGAAATTACTGTCATAAACTGGGGCAAATACTTTGTGAACGGGCATTCACAATATTCAGTGTTTCTTTATTGAAGTAAGATGAGGTCAGCTGGCAGCACTGACATTAACATATGTTAACAGTTCTTCTTCGTTTGTTTCTAGATTTACGTGTATTTTTGCTGTTTTATCTTAAGGTGGGGTAACATCCTTCTGATAATCGGGATGTTGACTTTGAGGACTGTACGTTTCCGAATTGTGATGTTGGCTCAAAAGGAGGTTTTTACATATTTCTGCTCGTTTCACAGCGGCATGGTTACGAATGCAATATTAGAAGAGATTTCTGTTTTGATAGAAATAGCCATTTATTGTCATTTAGTAAAATAAAGAAAATTAACGTGGAAAGGACGTATAAAAGTGATTTGGCAGTTTTCTGCACGGTTAATGATTAATAATATCTTAGCGCATGACAGTTTATCATTGAGTTTTTAAGAAATATGTTGTCTTCTAGTATAGCTGCAATAAGGAAAAGAAAGTTGTTCATGAAAATTGCAAGAGACTGCAGCATGAAGAAAGAATACGAAATACAGCCTGCATCGTAATTTGAGGGACATACAGCGCCAGATAAGAAGGAGCAAAATAACCCAGCATTAACACCATCTTGCCCAGCAGCAAGTTTATTCACGAGTTGAACCATATAATTAGACTCGCAATGCGTGCTAAGTACATGGTTTCTGAAATGTTAGCAAAAAAGATAGAACCTTTCCGTAGAGGAGTAAAAGGATGCTTGTCAGTTCCAGAGGTTGCATTTCCTGACAAAAAAAAAAGTGGTTTTGTTAGGATTCACCGTTAAGAAAGATTTAAAAATTAAAGTCACCAATATTGTCAGTTTTCTATAGTATCGGGAGAAGGTACTGACATGAGCAACAAAGTGCATCTTGCTGTTTTTGTTAGGGACCAGATATCTATGAAGACGGTAGGAAGGTGCTGGAAAGTCTGAATACCCCATGTAGAAAGGAACTGGACTGTTGACAGATAAGAGGGCAAAGTATTCAACCGTTGCCTATCATCAGTGACATAAAGAATACAGTCGATTGCGATTTGATACGAGGGGGTACCCAAAAGAAATNCTCTTTCATTCGAGGAAAAAAAAAAAAAAGTCGCACGGGGCAAGGTCGGGTGATTATGGAGGGTGAGGAACAGGGGTCATACCATTTTTGGTCAAGAATTGTCGTACAGACAGGGCTGTGTGAGCAGGGGCATTGTCATGATGGAAAAACCAGTCACCCGACTGCTCCAAGTCACTCCCGACAGCTCCACAATTTCTTCAGTGGTCCGTCGTCGATTTCTTTGATGATTTCACGAATTTTTTCAACATTTTCATGTGTTCGGGCCGTGGAAGGACGACCAGAACGAGGTTTGTCATCAACTGACATTTCACAATTTTTGAAACGGGAAAACCAATCAAACACTGGAGTTTTCCCCATAGCATAGTCCTTGTACGCCGTTTTTAACATTTCAAGAGTTTCTGTTCCACTTTTCCCGAGCAAAAAGCAGAATTTCACTGCCACATGCTGTTCACGAAAATCAGCCATTGCAAAAACGACGTTCACACAAAACAGTTGTCACTATAAACTCTGCCGAAACTAGTCCTTACCTTCTGAAGCAACGGTAGTCGGCTTATCGACTCAGGAATGTTAGCTCTATGCGCTCACAGCGGCAAAACGCGGTACTACAAAAGCTCTGCCCACAAAAAAATTAGTTCGGTTTCTTTTGGGTACCCCATCGTAATGTCATTGCTTGACGCTCCAAGACAATCTATGCGCGACGTCGCCAAGAATGCAGAATGCTTTTACAGTGGCTTCAAAACTCATATTCAGTTTACAGTTTTCTTGTGTGATATATTTTCTGTCGTATACGAAAATTCGTTGATTGAGTCGTGGTCAGATTCGCAAACGCGTCTGAGACTTATTTCGGGAAATAAAGGGACAAATAAGGTAGGTACACAACAATATTCTGTATTTAGAAACAAAGTAGACACTATTGTATCAATATTTGTCTTTTTTAGACAATACTGTATACTTTGTTTTTAAATACAGAATATTGTTGTGTAGACTGCATACTTTTATATACATTTATATACCTTATTTATAACACACAACAGGATGCATACTACAAAGAAAATAAAGGGACACCCCATCCTCAGCTTTGTTATTGCAACTGGTTGTGCAACTTCGCGTTTTGCATTGTCATTACCCAACCGGGTTTCGAGAGGAAGCTTTCATGGTTGAACAGTAACTGCGATCTGACAGTATGAAACACTTCCCAATTCTGAGAACGGAAAAAAATTAACTCATGCTATGAAATTCGCGGAACTTCAGCCTGCATCTTTAATAAGATTTCTTCTCCCATTTCCAAGATATGCGCAAGTGTGAGGCCAGAATAAACATTTTCATTGCTATTTGATGTTGAGAGTTTCCAGCAGAATTTCAAATGGAAATGATGAATTTGCAGAGTGAGATGGAGCCGAGAAATGCGTTTCTGACCTTCATAAACTCATTTAACTTGTTGATAAGTTTTAGATGCTTAGTGACCACTCACGGCGAAGGACAAGCCTTTCCGGAAGCACACGTGTACGTGAACAGCAGCTCCTTTCAAAATTGCAAGTGGCCAGGAATAAATGTGGAATTGAGTTGACGGTGAAATATTGGAGAGGTGCTCCGAGTTGCTACTTCTCACGTTCGTCCAGATAATAGAAACTTGGTGGTGAAGAAACATTGACAAGCTTCTCACTGACTTTCTTCTGTCCTTCGAAACAGTACTGAAAAAAATTAGACTCGTATTAATATTTTAAATTACATTAATACTATTATTTTTGTAACTAGAATGCTTAATGAAATTTTTTAATGAGAAAGCGTGACTTTCATTGTTATCAGTTGGTTTGCAGTCGATACAGGATTTTGAGGTTTTTAAATTGACGCTATGCCAAGAAATGTTGCTCGTTAAGCAGTACATTCTGTCCAGTGGTGTTTTGTTAGGTAATTGTATAGGATATTCAGCAAAATTGTTACGGATCACAGTAATCAGTTTTCTGTTTCCATCTCCTCTCAAAATCTTACACATTTTTACGCAATCAGAATCATTTTAAAATAAGTTGACATGAAAAATCGAGTGAAATTAAAGTAAATATGTGGTCCTTAAAGAAGTAGGCTTTATAATCGGTAAGATTAGCTAAACATCAAAATGGGCGGTTAACGTTATGCACACCTCTCATATCAAATTTTACCAAATATGAATAACGGTTTATGATATGTAGGATAGAGTTGATATATTGCCTTACGTAAAGTAGGTTTTATTTTCAGTCCATACGGATGAAAATCAGGCTAACCCAGCAGCGTTTAGTGAATGTGTCCATTGTCGAATTGAAATTACGTCTGTCCAGTGGTGTAGGTGCAGTTACTAGTGCCGTCATTAGGCATAACCTCCACTTGAAGGCGTTCATTTTTTTACTTCATAAAATCGCCTAATATGAACCAAATATGCTGGACATTTCCTTGCAATGACACAAATCCAGGAAGAACTGCTACAAAATAACGAAAATGTGGTACGGATTAGATTCTGCTGAACAGAGCAGTAAATACTTGGTCTTAAAACTGAAACTCAGGTTTAACAGCAGCAGTAAAAATTAAAAATTCACTTAGTGGGGTTTGGAGACCAGCTGGGTCCACTTGGCACTTCGGCCACTGATTGGCCTATTGTACCTGCCCCGGGTGGTGAAGAATTTTGGTGGAACGAAGATTGGCAGGGGAAGCCAAAGTACTCAGAGAAAATCCGCCCTAGCGCCACTGTCCACCACAAATGCCACTTGACCAGACCCGGGCCGCCGAGGTGGGAAGTCATCGACTAACCGCTTGAGCTATAGTGCGGCCTTTAATAGCAGCAGTAACTTTTATTTCCTACGAAGGAACACAGTTTTGTCAATTCTGCTAAGAGACATCAAATTTTTGTTAGTAAGAACTGTGCGTTAACGGATTTCCTGTTTTTACCATAACAAACATTCCAATTACTTGTCCAGCATCCCAGTTTCCCACCGTAACCCGGCGAGTCATCGACCGTTTCCACGGCTTTAGTCTCCTTAGATTTTTCGTACTCAAACCCCAACTTTGCATGCACATAGAAAGGTTGGAATAGATACCATTTAGTATAACTTCACTTTTAACTAGAGATTCATTATCATGGTCCATAAATAGTGCCAGATATTTTCTAAAATATATACAAATTTCCCGCATCATAGTAAAGGTAAAGTTTCCCCCTGCGCTTAACTAATTAAGAACTACGCCATGAAGGCGTATTGGGGAGTGGATGTATAGGTCCACATCTTCTTGACCTCGGCATTGGCCTGAGGTGAGTGGTGAGCTTCACGTCCCGGCCGCTTTACCCCCTGGGAAAGAGCCCCAGGTACGCATTGGGTAGGAGGTTGGGTGGACCCCAGTTTAGGAAACCGAGTCTTTCCCCCAGATTTCATATCTCATAGAGGATGTGAGTTTTGGTTTGGACATTACTTTGGCTGTGAAATTTTCTGAATGAATACGTATATTCAGTTTTTCGTATATCTCTGATTCACACCAGTTGTCAGCAGGAGTAACATATTTAAATGACCTGGGTTATCCTTAGGACCGCCTGTGTAGTCCAGTGGTCAGAGTTCCTAGGTTCGATTCCTGGCGCTACCAGATTTTCTGAGAAGTAGTGGATCTGGATTGGGGTCCACTCAGCCTCGTGAGGATAATTGAGGAGGTATTTCAAGGAAATAGCGGCTCCGGTCTAGAAAACTGAGATTAACGGCCGTGCAGATCCATTGCGCTGACCACGCGACACCCTCTATACGTAAAAGTTGTTACTAACTTCGCCAACAAGTGGCGGCCGCTCGGTCGGTATATTTCGCTTGCGGACTACAGGCCACGGAGTTTGTTTTGGGGTTGTCCTTAGAGGTTTCTGTTTTCCATTCTTCCACAGTTGCAATAATGTTCAAATTATATATGTATGAAGACTTTTTCGTGTGGGTCAACCTACAACTTCATTTAAGAATGTTGTACCTTAAGTGATCTATAATACATTCTGTAGAACACTCCTTTTGGAAAAAAGAATACCTAATCCATCACTTAACATTTTTCTAGAATTTTTCAGTTTCTCTCCGTCCCAGACATTCAGTTTGTCGCTTATATGCAGCTGAAACTTTAACCAATGATTCTTAGATGCTTTCCTTCTGAATAAAAAGGAAGTCAGCGGAACTATACGTAAGTTGGAAGATACTATTAAAATACATAATTCTGTTTTACAGAGCAGTACCACTCAAGTCATTTACTTCCTCGTTTATAATCATGCTGTCACTTGACACCGTCATGTTGATAAAGCGGTTTTAAATAAACCAGGAGACGAAGCGAGCCAAAGTTTGGGAGTCACCGTCGTGCCACATAGACTTCATATCAGAATACAGGGACATTTTGCGTCTTTGTGTCCTTCAGAAGTAGTTACAGTACTGAAATGGATCATAAGCGATCCTTTGTTTTGGCCGTCAGTTGTAAGGCATGTGAGGGAGGAAGCTGTGTTGCAGATCGCTTACAACGAAAGCCCACACGGCACAGGAGAACACCCTCCGCTCTTTCGGCGCCAACATAACAATTAAGAAATTCCATCGTTTGGGGCAGACGGAGTCATGCGATTGGGTAAAATATGACTTCAATATAACTGGTATCAACAAACTGAAAAATCCTTTGTTCTTCGACCAAGAGAAACGTCCCTAGAAGACAACCCGTTTAACTTGTACCTTTACACCTGTTTCTGTTGGTGAACCGGAGCCTGTTCTGTCACTGCATCCTGTAGCTCTCATATGGTGGAATGGAGCATGGCCACGGAAATTAAACGACGCCCTCATTGTACACAGTCACACGTTCTGCACTCGATAAAGTACTGCAAATATTACAGCGGTGCACAAACACAAAAGTCTGCACTGTTTCTAAGTTATAATGTCACGTGTAGTAGTGACTAGTGGACGGGGTTTGGATCGGTGAATCGATTTATTGGATATTCACCAGTCGTAACTACAATTAATTATAAAACTCTCAGGATTACGGTAATTATAACACATAAATAAAGTCTTCTATGTCTGCTTGCACTGGTCGTTGCTAGATAACAGATTTCAAAGATGGCTAAGCCTTGACTGTGTTTTTACTATTCGTTTCCTGGAAACAACAGTTTCACCGAATTACACACTCAGATATTACGCTTAAAGTCCTGTCAGCCGTCCTCTTGCGACTAACTCTTTTCTTCACAGCCTCCCGTACAGAACTGAACTCTCAGCTCCTTTCCATGACGGCTTCGTGCCCTTGATTCACGGCTTCTCAGCTACGACTAGCTACGACTCACTCCTCGGTTATTGTAGAACCACTTGTCATTTTTCGGCACGGATCACATAGAAAACACCTTCGTCTGTTGTATTACAATGCGGTTGCCCAGCAACAAATTACAACGATGTATTCCCTATTGTCTGCGAGAATATTTACGGAGTAGTTGCCTAGCAGTGATGATGTTCCTCTGTAGTTATAGAAACGGACCATATGTCACAATATTTAATATAGGCAAGTGTCGAATTTGTTGCGTAATTTTTAACTTCCTATACAGTCGGTACCGGAGGCTCTGTAGGAGGGGAATCGGCTGGGGCGTGAAGCTAACCACTCACTTCCAGTTAGTGCCGAGGCAAAGAAATCGTTGATGTGTACATCCACTCCCCCATACGCTCTCATGGCGTAGTGCTTAATTAGTTAAGCGCAGGGACAACTTTCCTTACCCTATATTGATTATTCAGTATTCGTTGACTAGCAGTTTCTGGGATGAAAACGTGGATAGACTGATGTATCTACTTTTACTAGCGTTGCACATTTCTTTTCAATATTGTTGACCGTGCTGGACTACCATGTGTGTTGCCGTCCTTGATGTCTCACCAGTGCTGAGACTAACGAACAGAACTGTGATTGTTTTTGTTTCACTTTATGTCTCTCTTATTGTCTAGTCTTATCTAGTCTAGTCTTATTGTCTATTGTCTAGTGTCAGATGGTGGGATTGGTCAATAATGAATTGGAAGGGATTTGGAGTGAAGCAACCATGGTATATAAGATTTGAGGCTTTCACGGCGGTGACTATGAAGAAAGCAGTCTTCTGGGATTTGGCACCGTGTATATGTGGTGTTAACCGACGTTTCGGAGGAACGTATCGCCTCCATTTTCAGGGTAGACTGGCAGTCTGCTTTTACCGGTTCTCACGGTCTCTTCGCGTGCAGATTTCTTATATTTTTTCTTCTACCCTGAAGATGGAGGCTATACGTTCCTCCGAAACGTCGGTTAACACCACATATACACGGTGCCAAATCCTAGAAGACAGCTTTCTTCAACCATGGTATAGTTGAAATACTATTAATAATTTTCGTAGACTGAAGGAACTTGTAAATGCCCAGAATTTGGGCGAAATTAATCGGTATTCTATTTTGATTTTGTTTGATTGGGTTGGACCGTAATGTAATGAAAGTAATTCATTCCCATTTATTATTACGATCCGCATATTTGGATTATTCGGGTTATTTGAATTAATGAATATTTCATTGCATTATCTCTGCACGGAAGTAATGTAATCTTACGGACCTTTGGAATTCTTCCAGAAATACTCTGGTTCCCACATGGTTGGACTTTGACTCAATAGCCCATTCATTACCTTCACAACACGGCGTCTTCAGAATACAGCTGAAGTCAGAGATAGGGGCAACCGTGCGCGAGTGTATAGTTTTAGCGTAGTCGACTAGCAGCTTTGGGAGGCAGCCTGAGGGGTGAGGGAGTTTTGTGCAGATGAACTACTGACTAATTAGAGATTTGTATCAACGTTGTACGTTATAGGACGACTTCATGTTGAAAGAGGGACGCGAGGCACATGCAAGCGTCTCGAAGACTGGTATTTTAGAACTCATAGAAGAGGATGTGTTTCTCGACAACACACACATAATCTGCAACTTTTTTCAAAGTTTGAATTTAAATTTATATAAAATATATCTGCTTCTGATATAGAAACTAAATCAGCATTTTGCCACACTCACAGTGATAATCGCACGAGTGAAACATTGTGTTACCATATTGAGTATATTGTCTGATTTAAAAATGAAACAAATGGTTACTATCGTGATTGCTACGTGTCACTCCGAACCCTGAGTAACCAATTGTTTTGTCCAAATTACCTGTCGTTATTACCAATTTGCTGATCACAGTGCCCCTACGGTCTTAAAGCAAGAAATGTCTGGTCTCCCTCGAACACTGGGATCGTGGGTTGGAATCCCCCACTCAAGGCAGGACTGTCTGTTCGCGTTTATTCTGTGTTTGTGATAGGTAAGCGGCCTTGCGATGGGCTGATCCCGCGTTCAAGGAGTCATACCGGCTGGCCAAGATAGAGAACCTGAAGTGAAACAAGCGTTTCACGGACACCATATGCTCCAAGTAGGAGCAACAGAAAGAGAAGAATTGCTAGTTTATGTACGCCTCTGTGTGGCCTAATTGATATTCCTGGCCTGGCTATAAAACCGACGTAAAACCTCACTCGGGATAGCTTTGTACCTGGGCCAAGGTTCGAACCTAGCAGGCACCTCACTAATGCAAGTCTACGGTGTCACCGTGACACCGACCTTTTCGGTATATTGATATTGACCGAAGTGTAATACGTACTTCCTAAGAAGGAATAAGCCTTGAATTGGGTTAGGAATGGTGGAGCTATTTGTTCACTCCCCCGTATGTGTTCATGGCGTAGTGCTTAAGTGATCAAACACAGGGAACACCTCACTTTACATTTGTAGGTCTGTGTAAGAAACTAAAGCGTATTACTGCCGGCAGTGTAAAACGAGGAGAGTATGACTACGTAGCGGTGATAATAAAGGGAAGTAACGCCCTTCGTGCCCAAGGTCTGTTTTTAAAGGGAGGGCGGACTATGCTTTGTCCGTACGTAGAGTGCATGCGTTCTGTTTGAAGAAACATGCACTCTAGAAGTTGGTTACTTGTATGTTTTATCCTTGAATTTAAGAGTCATCTGAACGATGTGTCACGTATTGCACCACGACGTTGTGACGCATGTGCAGTGTCAGCATTTTCAGGGAATTCCCCCTTGGCAAGAATTCGGACGGCTGGCAAAAACTGGATTTTGTTTTTGCTGCCAGGTGCACTTTGGCATGCGATAACATTTTTGTCCTATGGATACGGGGCGTGGAGGTTTAGAATTCGTGGTTTCTCACCTCCAAGTCCCAACATGAGTTTCCTGAGCACAAAAGCGACTGTAGTGACTGGATTTTCCCTCTGCATCCCCTCCTCATCATTCCGGTTTCCTCATTTTCTGTAGTGCCAGGGGTCTTTTACTTTGGAGTAAAAATGAGCGGAGCTTGAAGCTGACCTCTCACTTCTGTTTGTTGGTGACATCTAGAATACATGCCCTATTGCTCGTACACCCTTTTGCGCCTTTATGTTGTGATTTGACGCATGCCTGTATCAGAACAAAGGGGCCATTAATATTTCTCTGTTTTGGTTTTGTACTCCCCCCCATGATTTGCACAGATGAACTTAACGCGAAGCGGCAGAGTCCATTCTCCTTGATCGCAGAAAGTATTGAAAGTGTTTCCATGAAATTTGATAAGAGGTTGGCTACGTTGGGAGGCCGGGAGGGAATTTTATTTTGGTCCGTATGTCTGAACCCTACAGATTTAAGGTTATCACCGGTAGCGTAGTTGGTTGAGGCACTATGCTGTAAGCCGGAAGGTCGCGGGTTCAAGTCCCGATGAGGCCATTGAATTTTTTTCAGTTCACCTAAACCTTCCTGCCGCACTATGGCCCAGGGGTCGACTCAGCCTCTAACAGAAATGAGTACCAGGAATTAATTAAAGTAATTTTCCTGGGGAGTAAATCGCGGCCGGCGCGTAAGGCCATCTTTGAGCCGAGGGGTCGGAATTCGAGTCCTGGTAGAGTCAAGAATTTTGTCTTCTCCTTGTCGTCCAGACCGGCCCTGGGGTCCTGCTAGCCTCCTATCGAATGGGTAACGGGGTTCTTTCCTCGGGGGCTTGAAGCTGACCACTGACCTGCAGCTAGCGCCGGGGTCAAAAAAATGTGGATCTATACATTCTCCTGTGAACGGAGTTCATGGAGGTAGGCCTAGGCCCACTGGGGCTGTAGTGCCAAGGAAAAATTAAAAAAAAAATACACTCTCCTATACGCCTTCATGGCGTAGTGCTCAGTTAGGCACAGGGAGAACTTTACCTTAACTTACCCAGAATACCTCGCGGTCTCGGATTGCAAATTCAGATCCAGCAGATACCCGTGGTTGTGTGTGTCGGTAATACAGCAGGCACCAGTTGCGACCTCTTGAGCGTGGTAAAACTACGTAGGAGCAGGAAGCTCTGGCGCGAGGAAACCTGCCGCCAGTCACGTAGGCAGTGTGGGTTAGCTTGCCTATTGATTTCCACAAGTTTGCTTCCGGTCTTTCTTCTCGGATATAAGTCGGGAATTAGGAAGTTGTTTTAATTTTTGTAAATTATATACGAAATATCATTAAAATGATGTTAAAACCAGTTCCACGAAGTTTCGAAGAGGAAATTAGAAATGTACTTTAGTGACGTTTACCAGTTTTTCGTATTTGGCATAAAATACCTTTTAAAATATTACACATAACAGGGTACACAGCTGCACAGCCAGAAGTTGTTTTTGTTCTGTATCTTGAAACGTTAGGGCCTCTGTTATATGCGATTGAAGGCCAACAGAAATTACATTTTCGCACGTATTTATTGAGAACCCCTAATATAATATTTAACCGAAGTTCATTAACCTGTTGGAAGAGTGCATTCCTTCTAAATAATATATACAAATTCAGTTCTTCATACGTCTCTGCTACAAAGACTGTCATGTTAATTCTGCTTGGGCAAATTTCATATCACCGTGAGATTTGTATGAAACTCACAGATACACCCTGGGAAGTTTACAGAGTGTTAGCCTGTTACAGAAGGTGGCACATGTAGG